ATATGGTTCATAATCAAATGAGCTCAAAAGTCCATTATTATGAAGCTTTTCAATGCGTTTCTCATTTATATAGTCTAAACGACAATGCCAAAGAAACGTAGGATTATAGTCTTTTGTCTTTAATCTCTTAGTACTAATGTTATAAACATGCACACTTTGGTCTAGAATATAAAGCTCATTCTCTAATGGACTGCTACCATAAATAATATCACCACGTTCAAATAAACAACACTTGTCTTTAATCGAAAAATGAAATCCTTCCAAATCCAAACAAGGAATAGAAATAATATTTCTGCTTATAGCAGGTACATAGTATCACTTATTAAGTTCTAAAACCATACCCGAAGGCAAAGACCAATGAAATGTTCCTACAGCTAATGCAACAACTCTTCCTCTATTTCCCACGTGCAGGTCCACTTGTCCTTTCTCCAAAGTTCCACTGTTGCTTAGGCCCTACATATTCGTACAAATATGAGCACCACAACCGGTATCCAATACCCAAGAAGTAGAACCAGAAGTAGNAACATTTACTTCTATAACATAAATACCTTTAGAAGAAGTCTCAAAAGTCTTCTTCTTTGTCAGATCTTCCAAGTATTTCTTGCAGTTTCTCTTCCAATGCCCAGAGCCATTACAATAATGGCACTTATCTTCACCAGAAGGACCGGGCTTGAACTGAGGAGCAGGGTCAGGCTTGCCCGGATTCTTAACCCAGCTTGCCTTACCTTTTCCTTTGTTATTACCAGGTTTCTTAAACTTTTTACCCCCTTGTACCATGAGTACATGCGGGGTGTCCTTCTTGATGTTTGGCTCAACTATCTTGAGCATTCCATGCAGCTCAGTCAAAGTCTTTGTCAAGTTTTCATGTTGTAGTTCATCACAAACTGATCATAACTTGACGGCAATGACTGCAGGATGATGTCAGTAGCCAAGTCTTGGCTAATAGGAGCATCCAGTTTAGGCAGGTTATTAATATAACCCATCATCTTAATGACATGTGGGCTAACTGGACTGCCTTTAGGCAGCTTGCACTCAATGAGAGCCTTAACGGTCGGGTATCTCTCAGTTTGTGCCTGCTCCTGAAACATCCCTTTAAGGCTAGTGATCATGTCAATTCGCGAATCCACGTTCTCATATTGCTTTTACAAGTCTGAGTTCATGGTAGCCAAACTAGCAAACCGAACATAACCAGCAGAAATCAATTCGACTTATTTCGACAATCATCCATTAACCAAGTAAACCGATTCGAGTCATTAAATAACCAATGATAATTCAATCTAACTCAACAATCCAATTCATCAAACCAGCAACCTAGCGGTTCTAAACAATACGAT